CGTTTACTCCTCATGCATGGTAAGATCAGAGCAATGCGGAGCATTGTATGCTTTCCTGGGAACCTCTCGTTGATTTAACTCATTTCGCTGAAGTTAACTGCCAACGAATGTAATTGATTTCCAAAGTGACTAGGAATCCATCCGATCGCTGAACTATGCCTACATGACGTATTTGCCTTATTCTAGCCTTCCCTGCGATCGACAGGACAATGGGACGGTTCTCTTTCCGGATGAAGGGCAGAACCTGTATCACGAGGCTAAGTAATACTTTACTACCTTCAATCTTTACAACCCTCATCGTCTTGAAGATAATGATATATAGGTCTGTAAGGGTACATTTGTGGGTTGCCGTATTCGGGAGAAGGAGTCATTATTAAAATCCCATCAAGCCCAAGTGCCACTTAAAAAAAATACTAAAGGGCGAATACCAAAGCTACTTAATTTACACTCATGCGTTATGTGCTACTCGCTCACAGCCTCCCTCTCCCTACCAGTCTCATTCCATTAACGTTGATGGGAAAACAGGAAAAAAGCATAGCACCAAACTTTAATCTATATTCCCTCTAAACGGGTTGAGAAGATCTAGCTATGTTCCCAGCATGGAAAGCTTGTTTTCCTTGCGTTCTTTCGCTCCTGAGAATGATCCTCTTTTTATCCTTCTGATTAACTAGGGTGAAGGTTGGCATTCATCTCTGTCTTTGAATATGCCCTTTCATGAGTACTACTAAACAGTTCCTTCCCCTGACAGTTACATGGAAAAAAATGAAAAAAATGAAAATGGCAAAAAATGAAATATATTCCTAGAAGTTAGTTCTAGATCCCATCTCCCTTTTGGCATTACGTTTCCCTGAAAATTTATGTCTATTTGGATGATGAACGGTATATCTCTTTTGCTCTGATCTGGGGGCTTTCGTGAAACGTTATATAACGATCTACCTCCCCAGAATAGTTGAGGTCCATGACTGGAATGGGATGCGCCTAAAACCGAACTCAAACTCTTGGTGGAGAAATAATGAACAGAAAGAACAAAAGAAAAAAATTCAACTTTAAGGGAGAAATGGGACTCTTTTGGTGTGACCCCAGATGAAGATCCACCTGAAAGCGATATTCATTTTGCGAAGAATGATCTCTGCTGGGTGCAGGCCTAATCCTGATGCAGTTCTTTGGAAAGGCTTAGTTCATTCTTATTAAAGTCCTGATAAGCCAACGAAATGAAAAAGAAATCTGTCATTCCATTCCGTTTGAGTTTGACAAGATTTCTTTTTAGAATTTTGGCTAGTCACACACTCCTATTTAGTTTGATTCCTTTACGCTTCATATACTTTGATACTTCTCCGGCGAAAGTGTATTTGTGCAATGCATTTTACGAATATCCCATTAGGGTTTCCACCCCGCACTCTCCCTGGACAGTGAAGGTTGTGAAAACGTGGAGCCATGTACTTCATCCGCGATGGAAAAACGGATTCCGCGCATCCAAGTACGCTGGGATATACGAGGGCCACTCAATAAGTTATCTACCTGAATATGAAAGGGATGAGCACCTGCACCCAGCAGAGATCATTCTTCGCAAAATGAATATCGCTTTCAGGTGGATCTTCATCTGGGGTCACACCAAAAGAGTCCCATTTCTCCCTTATTCAGGTAGATAACTTATTGAGTGACCCTCGTATTACCATTTTCGTGATGGTCAGGAATTGATGTGCCAAACAATTGACTGCTTTGGAAAGTAATTGGCTTGTTCCATCGAGCGAACTGTCTGCTTGGTTGCTTAGTCACGATATTGTGGCAACCCAGGTCGTTCTTGTGCTTCTTTAAGCACCTTGAGGAGAATTGGAAATGAAACAAAGGAAATCGTTAAGGAAATAGGAAAATTCTTCGGTTAAATACTGAACAGAGAGTGAATAAGTCGCCGTAGAGTCTATTCCCTTTCCTTAAGCCCCTCTAGTTGGAGTGGCTTCAGGGAAAATCTTCCACCTCGCATTTCTCTCTAAGTGAATCTAGAGGAGCGAAAGTGGGCATGGTTCTTACCCTCTCGACACAGAATCGCTCACGGAATTTGAAGCGTCGTCGCCCCGGATTTGAGGAGAGTGTTGAATTTTTTTTTATATGAAAATATGTTCGTTCCTTTCCCATAGTTAGCCAATCTTAATGTGCTTTTGGATGAGATACCCCCCCATCAAAAGAAATATATGGATTCGTACTCATACGAAAATATTCCTATCAGATAATATGAGAGATTGGTCCATTATGTTTCGTAAAATAATATCTGTAGTCATTTACTACTCTTTACATGGGCACTCCAGTATCTCTCACGATTTTCTCGAATTTCATGCTGGAATTATGTCCCATTCATGAGTCATTCTGCTTTTCTCTCACAGGCCACGCAACAGGTTTATACCACGCCGACCGACCAGATCGGACGAATCGCGCCGACGAAAGATATTGTGTGAGCTTGTTCCACTAGAATGTATGCGCAGTGCAAGCGGCTACCCCTCCATTTCATCAGCGAACCGGATTAGAGGAAGATGTGGCTACTACCCTGGCTCCTCACTTGGTTCGTTTGGAGGGCGATGGGAACCATCACTACTCAACAATTCCTCGCCCCTCAGATCATGAACATGAAGATCACTTCGCCTTCTGTAGAACTTGTGGTTCGTACCGAGATTGAATGCGCCATGTCTTGCATGCAGTGAGTCGCCTACAACTTGTCTGTATGTAAACGAAATCGAAGTTGCTTGAAATGAAATATTTCAAGATTTTTCCAGTTTTAAGAGTTCCTCATGTGTGTCTTAGTCTGGAATGGACGGGAATGACTAAATTATAGAAACATAGAAGTTACCTTTCCATAGAATGACATTCTTTTTACAATATGCCATAGTGGGAGGTATTCGTTCCTTTATGTACTAGCGGCCGCTTTATGTCCGCTATTGTGGCCTTCTACCCGTACATATACTGTTTTGTCACTCCCCATCAACTTAGAATAGTCTTAGCCTGGTTCCCGCTGCCAAACTTTGATATACAGTTCATGATGGAACATATATGCACGAAAGATATGCTGAGGCACAGCATGCTACATCTGCCAATATGCGAATTTTCGCATATTGGCAGATGCAAGATACAGCCAAAACTAGTTCAACGTCAGTAAAGTAAAAAAAAAATGGAAGGAACCATGAAATATCAAGAAACAGGACACACATGGGAACGAAGCGTAAAGTTTATATCATAATGAACAAAATTAGTCCCGGTGAGTGAATATGACGAAATAAGAAGTAATTCTTTATTATCGTCCGTAAGGTGCAAGCATCAATTTCCCCCTGCTTCGGTCCGTCGATAACCTTAATATTCTGCGAATACTCTGAGCGAACACGCGAGTAGGCTACGTACAAGTGCCATACATGGATACTGGCTCCGTAAGTATTAATCCGACTTGATCCAATCTCTGTCCTTGAAGTTTGTTCATAGTCGTACCATGGGTAAGCTCGATAGGGAATTGCCGTTGGCAAAGAGGGAACGGTATGGTGACTTGGGTTGACGTGTCCAGTGAGGCAGAAATTGAACGCAGCCACGAAGCGCACCCGTGATCACCTGAACTACTATGGGTGTTCGAATGAAATGGGGACATTTAGTCTCCTACCTCATACTAAGAGTAACAGCCATTGCCCCCTTTACATTTAAACCCCTTAGTATTAATATATTTGTGGGCAGGTCGCTCACGATTATAGACGTGTCGATGGAAATGTCGTTCCGATCGTACGTCTCCGTACACGCATCAGGATATATCGAATTTCTACGTTGAAGGCGTGCGGAAAGAGACCCCGGGTATTGATATTGTTGAATAATTCAAACGGAAAGGTGGCCTGCCTATCGGTGTCATCACCACCATGATCGTTCCTCACAATTTTGGTACTGTGATGTGAGCACAATTCGCCTTCTAATCGGGACGACACGTCCTCATTGATTAAACTGGAATGTTTATTCCTGAGACACAGAATAAGCGGGTTTGCTTCACACTTCGGCATCGCAGACCATATGTCGTTGCCCAAATAGGTCGTTCACCATATTATCAGCAATATAATCGCCTGGTAAACCCACGATGAGCTCGTATGGATCGCCCTGTACACCTCACTGGATGTTTAGAAGCCGTAAGGACTATTATCAGTAATGTCAACAATTGCTGCACCAAAAGGAAGCAGAAGCGTTTGTGCTGTTGTACTGCCTAATAAATTGTGAGCGTTTTCATCTTCCCCATCAGCGGAAACTACAATGGGTTCGTATGGAATACCGTAACTTGATCATGATAACAACCTTGCCGAAGTTTGCCTTTCTTGGCTTCAAAATGAAAAGCCAGGCAGTGCTTAACAGAGATCATTCCGCATTCATAGGGTAGCGGTCATGCGAAACGGCTAGAATGACATTGGGCGTCCCAGCCAACGCAACTCGAGTATGGTTAAAGGTAAGTCGCGTACACGTGCTGCTCTCCGTGCAGGGTTAACAGCCTTATGTTGCTCTGCGATTAATGCACCTCTCCTCCCGGCTTTGATATCTTCAAATTTGCTCATAGGTCAGTGCAGACCTACGCAGCCTCGCCGCTACTCTTACGCGGGCGCATCTCATCCAGTTTATGTCCTGCAAAAAGCACAGTCTTGCAGGCAAAATCAGTTGCATGGACGAATCATGTAAACGCGCCTAGCCTATGAAATGGAAAGGACAAGCCTCGTAGGCCTATCGGCTTCCATGCCTATGATCCGGAAAAGCAAAGGCATATAGGCCAAGGACTACCTAGCCTATGTCCTTGAGGGGCAAATGCTTAACAGGCCAGAGGCTTCTCCTACAATGAATCTCCTTAGTGTATTCTAATATAGTGTTACGGAGGGAAAGTGGGAGACGGACGATGGAAGGCATGAGAGGACGAAATAAGCCAAAGAACGGCCGGGAATTGAAACCGGGCCTCCTGATTGCCGGTCAGGTGTGCTACCTTTACACCACCGAACCCCAGACATTCAGTCGAGTCTCTCGATGCCATCCTCATCCGTCACAATAGTATGGATATGTGTACTCGGGGCTGTTGGTTAATTACAATTCTTGAAAAAAAAATCTGAAGAAAGTCAACATCTTCAAAATATTTAACATGTAGGTATTACTTTTCCAAATGTGTAAAAATTTAGATAAAACAAGTTATTGTTTAAATTAAAAATTCGGATTGGTTTGAATCTAAAATTTAAGGGAAAAAATTTAAATGGACATATACAGTGAGGGACAAAATTGTTGCAATGTTCGACACCTTGCCAGTTTATGACTCATATCTCGACTATGACGTGTTCAATTTAGCTTAAATTTCAATCAATCATACTCCTACTTCCTGGCTTTCGATTGGCGCTAGTCACATATCAATTGGCCTCCTATGGTCTAAGTGGCAGTTGTTCAAAGCGAACGAGGCATTGGAACAGTTTTGTCCCTTTCACTCAGGCATACGAAAAAACGAATTTATTTTATACTTCATGTGCTTGCCTTTGGCCTTCAACACTGCCTGAACCCTTCTAGGCATGCATTCGATCAAACGCAAGCATGTTTGGACTGGAATGGCGTCCCACTCAGTCTTGACCCGCTGCCAGAGCTCGTGGATACTGACGGGCTCATTCTCGTACCTCGCCAGCCTCCGCTTCAAATGTTGCCAGAAGTGCTCTATTGGGTTGAGGTCTGGCGACTGTGCTGGCCATTCTAGGACTTCGATTCCATGGTCCTAGAACCATTGGCTAGCCAGCCGCGAGGTGTGTTTCGGACCATTGTCCTGCTGAAACACCACCTCTCCCACTTCGAGGCGGTAATGCGCCAGTGTCTGGAGCAATTTTTCCTCGAGGATGCTTGAGTAGAGCCTGGCATCCATTCTTCCTCGGATTTGACAGCCAAACCCGACTCCTTTCGCCGTCATGCAGCCCCAAAACATCAGGCCACCTCCACCATACTTGCGGGTCTCCCTCACGTGCCACTCTGCTAGGGCTTCGCTGGGCTGTTTCCATGTCCAATCACGCCCATCCGACCTCATGAGGTTGATTTTTGTCTCGTCTGACCAAATTATGCGTTTCCAGTCCAGTCCAGTGTTGGTGGCGGCGGGCGAATTCTAGCCGCTGTCGGATATGCCGGCGACTGGAGTTGCGGCTTCTTTCGCTTGGTTGTTGCCCTCAGTCCAGGTTCTTTCAGAGCTCTGCGAACGGTTTTGGCACTGACTATCGATAAGTTAGCTACTGGGGCCGGGCAATCCGATGTCTCTGGGTGCGTCGGACCCCGTCATGTTACATCCAGGCCTATCTGTCGGCTTGCCACCGGCTATAGGGTACTCTCGGCACGATGCCCCAAGGGCAGACCAGGAGCGGAACCGAACGGTAAACGACCTTGGCAACGGACTCTGATCATCGGGACTTGGAACGTGCTAACACTCAGTGGTAAGTAGCCTGAACTCATGGAGGAGACGACTAGATATAATTGGCTTGGCCTCAACCAAGAGGATAGGCACCGGTTCCATTTCCCTAGACAACGGATGGACCCTCTACCGGAGCGGAGTCGACTCGACCGTGTTAGCTCTGGCTGGAGTAGGGATACCCATTATTCCCCAACTGGTCGAAAGCGTCATCGAATGGAACCCAGTCAGCGAGCGTGTCTCTCTGATCCGCCTCAGACTGGAGCAAGTCGGAGTGTTGGCCGTCGTTCAGGTCTACAGGCCGAACTGCGAGTCAGATTACGATGCATTTTTGGAGGAGGTGGATGGAACCTTAGAAAGGATTCCGAACGGCGACCGCGTCGTGTTGATGGGGGACTTCATTGCACGAGTTGGGAGAGACGATGCTACATGGAGTGGTGTGATCGGTCGATTTGGGGAAGCCACGCCGAACGGGAATGGCAGAAAGTTGCTGGACTTCTGTGGTGGCAATGGCCTGACCGTCACCAACACCTTCTTCCAGCACAAAGATATCCACAAGTTTACCTGGCACAGGGAGTCTGATAGTCGGACTGGTACTGCGTGCCAGCAATCGCTGATTGATTACGTGATCGTTTCGGCGGACTTGTGGGGCCTTGTGACGGATACGAGGGTGTGGCGTGGGACAGAACTGAGCACCGATCGTCATCTAGTGGTCAGCAAACTTCGGATACGAGCGAATCTCAGAACGAGGCAGAGAACCGCACGCGTTGAAAGACGAGTGAGGTGGGAAGCCCTTCGCGATGAGGACTTCGCGATGAATCACTCCACCTCGTACAAGGTGGAGTGATTACGTCGCTCGGCGTTGTCACGAGAGGCTCGGCATCCCACCAGCTGAGATTGAGTCTGTTGCCCAGGATCGAGATCACTGGATGACGCTCATGGGGATGCTCGAACCGGGACCAATTAAATTGGGAAAAGCGGCCAAGAAAATGTATGTATGTATGTATGTCAATTTTACCCCTCAACCTACTGACGGAGGTATAGGCTTCTAGTGCTTTTATAGTGGAACGGACATCCCGGATGTGATTGCGTCGCATGCCCAGAATCTCAACTCTCTCCAGCAGGGCTAGTTCGAACTTACTCAGAGGCATAAGTGGGCTTGCGGGTCTGTCGGATCTGCCCGACACCGTCCGCAAGAGCTGCTCACGGAGTATCGGGTTTAGCTATGTCGGGTGGTTTTGGGTCGGGTCCAGGCCGAGATTAGATTCGAGCCTGTCGGGCAGAGTGAGGAAAAGCCGACCCGTACAGGAAAGTCAGAGAGAAAAACCTCGGATAGACTACGCAGAGCGTTTCAGACGGACGGACACTTGCCGATTAATACAGGGTGGCCCAGAAGTAATAGGGCAGTTAGTGGTACAATCAGTAATCGCTACAATTTTATTTGCAACCTTTATTCGAAATTAAAATAAAAATCAATTAATAATCAAAATAATAATTTTAAAAAATTATGAAATTATAAAATATTAATAAAATTGTAGCGACTGCTGATTGTACCACTAACTGCCCTCTTACTTCTAGGCCACCCTGTATATAATTTTTTTTTGGAGGGAAAGGGACAAGGAGATTTTCCCCTTCATATAGCGATTTTGTGTGGCTAAGCCCAATCCACCTACGGACACTTGGACCAATGGCATCTCTATGAACACACATGTAGCCTTAGGAAGAGTTTGAAAAAGGGGCTTCCTTAGAGTCCTCTTGCCCAATTATAGATATGCATGAAAGGACTAAACTCTCCATGCATAATCTACATAATTATGTAGATTATGCTTATGATTATGATTTACATAATCTACGAAGAACGAATGCATTAAAAAGCTTAAATAATGAGCCCATGTGTCCAGTATTATATATATTTGGAGATTTATGTGAAAAAAGAAATGTGTCGATCATAGAAAGGAATTAAATTCCCAACATGAACACTTAATGAAGCCCTGTGAATTTTTCCCTGGTGATCCTCAGTCATATGACGTCGCCATGAATATTTTCTGAAACAACTTTATTATCAAGGAGCGAGCTTCGTAGACGTGAGAATTGTCAAACCCATTAACCAAGGAGTTTGACTGCTTCATTAAGGTTGAGCTTCGAAAACGGATGCTTTAAATGTAATATTAATATTCTATTATAGAGCCCCAAAAGAGCAAGTTTGTTTGTGCGAAGGTCAAGCAAATTCGTAAGTATTCATATAGTTATTTGTAAATAATTCACTATTCTGATCTTCTGTATGTTCAATCACAAAGAGAATCTTATTCATTGAATCAGAAACCTAATGGCAAAATAAAGATTCCGAACATGTTCCTACCAATCATGAAAAAAACGGACCATTCAATTCATATTCTGGGCAGAAGCAATATCACACTAATTTGGAAACAGTTTGGAGTAAGTTCACTTCTAAACTATAGGATTTTGAGTGCTATCGCAAAAATATGGAAGTTGAACAATGAAGCACACAAAAGAAAAGCATATTCATGGATTTCCATCAACAATGAGGAAACAATCCCTTTCAATTGGATACTGGAAAATTCACCGGCGAAGTACCTCCATCAGCAGCTGCAGCAGCCCCATCAACTAGAGACTCATCGGATATCCCATCGACAGGCCGGAAAATTTCTGCAGTTGCAAGTTCCCAGCAGATACAGGGCTACAAGATATTCCTAAAGGCACCCCAATATACTCATTCCTGGTTCAGAAGTGGAAAATATGAAGTCCTGCATGCAATAAAATGCTCTAAAACACCTACCTCGCATACCGGTGATGGTCATGCTTTTTCTACAGCCAGAGTACATCTCTGCAGCAGAAACGTTGAGGATCCTATTGGCATCGATGTCGAAGGTCACCTCGATCTGTGGGTAGCCTTGAGGAAGAGGTCGGATGCCAGATAGCTCGAATCTTCCGAGTAGGTTCTGCAAGGAAGATGGTACAGGGTCGTTCATTTAATTCGCAGACGTTAGTAATCGCCCAATATGACTAGGTTGGAAACCCTGCAGGGAAGGTTGATGCAATAGGAAACCGACATTGTACAGCTGCGTGTACAAGGTGACCCGCCCTCATAGTCGAGCACTGAACACGATTTTGTGATGGTGTTCAAGGTGTCTTTGTCGTTCGTGAAAATCGGCGGATACTTTTACGGGAATTGGCACGAGAACTACCAGTCTCAGTAGGCAGTGGTCATGCTAGAACAGCGTTCTGGGGAGGAAGACCCTATCTGGTGATGTGGATGCTGTGGGGTGTCCAGGAAGTGGGTTGTCAGCGATTCTGTCGCTAACGACCCTCCAAAAACCGCTCATGCCACTTGAGCTCCATTCTTCGTTCAAGAAATTCGTTTCCATATGCTTGACTCATGTCTACAAATGTTTCCAACTCACTCAAACCACGCCGAATACAACAGCGGAGAACATATCCCTGTTCCGTTTGAAGGGTATCTTCCACGCCGATGAATATTCGTACGCTCTCATGAAAACGCGTTCAATGCTTGACTGTGTGGGTGGATAACCTTGTACACGGAGCTGTACAATGTCGACCCCCTATTGCATCAGCCTTCCCTGCAGGGTTACCAACCTTGGCATATTGGGTGATTATCAGCACCAGTTCGCGAATGAAATGAACGAGTCTTGTATTTCTCAATTCCATGCATGTCAAAAGACAAGAACGAAACTAGGTCTATACCATTAAACTTTCGGTAGAAAGTTTCCGAAAGGGACAGAAGTTGGGGTTGGGGTTGGATCTGGAGGTGGAGTGGAGGGTAAAAGATGCTTTGAGTGATTGCAATCCGGATCCGGATAATTCGTCCAAAAGAAACTTAATCCTCGACTTATTGGACCAATTACGCTATGAGGAATAATCCCAGGTCTTCGAGATATCGCGTCGAAGACATGTAACGGTAGTCCAATCGAAGGCCTTTTCAGTCTCTCATGACCCTATGAAGAGAGTACGTGTAACGTTAGACCGATTGGAAGTCTACTTCGGGAATCCCAGGTCTTCGAGATATCGCATCGAAGACATGTAACGGTAGTCCAATCGAAGGCCTTTTCAGTCTCTCATGACCCTATGAAGAGAGTACGTGTAACGTTAGACCGATTGGAAGTCTACTTCGGGTTTCATGAACCATTTCAATGCGAACGAGGAACACTAGGCCTATCTATCTCGACGACAGTTCTTCGAGCTGTCTCGACGAGTTCTGAGGAGAAGATGCCTCTAGGAAGCATTGAATACAGCCTGGACGCCATCCTGTTAATTCAGGGATGTCCGGGTAAGATATATTCACATTCCACCAGATCGATCGGCCACTGCCGGCCACCATTTCAATCTCGGCTCGTCTCACGAACTCAGCACAAAATTGTCTCATACATTTAAAACAGAAGATCCAGACGAAGTCCAAAGAAGTCATGACTATGAGATAACTCCGGTACGATATTCGGCAACATTGTAGGACGGGACTGGAGCCATCACGCTGAGCCTAAATTAACAACAGAAAATTTAATTATTTTAATTTCGAAATGATGCACTGGAAGCAACCATAAGGACACTTTTCGTCATCTACAAGTCAATACCCATTCGGCACAACAATGCTGTGTCAATGTTGAAATAAGGTTGACTTTTCAACGTAATATGTTGCCACGATGTTGCCACAATGTTGAAATGAAACATAGCTCAACATACCTCGTAGAAAAGTTGATGCGGTGCGACGTTGTGTCAATGTTGAATTTTCAACGTAAGGGCATTATAGTACCTCCTCCCTATTCCAGGGTCTGAATGAGCTTTGATTATCAGATGAAATTGTATATGGACTCGATATCTCCATAGATGGTTCCCAAGTGGTATGATACTAGCAGTACTCTACCGAATACAACATCCCACGTAAAGGACCCTCAGAGTTTTATTTCCTCTACTGAATGAGAATTCACATTGAGTACTTGCAAGACTCAATCTCTCAGTCCAGTAGAGGAAAGCAACCTCGCGGGCATGGTTTTTATACTCTATCCATCATGGATGAGTCTATGTAAGGGCGCGTGCCATGTGGAGATTTAGGAAAATTGAGCGTGTGTTCTCGGACCCTTTAGCCAGAAGTACTTTGGGTCTCCTTCTGCCTGATTACCTCCTTAAACATGTCTATCTAGGAATTCCTATACCTTCTCAGAATGGCAGAGAGGAGAGAGGAATGGAGAGCTGCGACAAACCAATCTAAGGATTGATGACTTGATGATGATGAAGGGGTTGAATAAAAGTAATAGGCGCTACCGCGCCTATTGATAGATCAATTTAGGTCAGGAGTGTCCAACTCAATTTGGCGGGGATCAGAGGATTTGGTTCAGGTGTGTTTAGGAACTCACTATCGAATCTCATACCACATACACCGCATTTTTAATGCGAACAAGTGAAAAATGCAGCAATTTTCCAAAATCAACTGTTGAAGAGGAATTTGCCCGCAGGAGAAAATGAATTGGCGATTCGGATCCGGCGCGCGGGCCGCCAGTCGGACACCCTTGGCTTAGGTAGTCATTCAAGGCAGGTTTCAACAATCATTAGGCCAGCTCATATTGACCCTTTGGGAAAAGGTTGCTATTCCATTCCGTGTGTGACTTCTTTCTTTTCCTTTTCCCCCATCTGTCTAGTTGTCATAGAAACCAGAATAATGTTGTTCTCGAGCCAAATCACATGTGTAACCTTTTGCATGGGTCAAGGTATCAATCACTAGCTAAAGCTACCAGTTCTCTCCCCGCCCTTGCAGATGACGAATCCATTTATTTGATAGCCGAAAGAGAGCTGTGTGAACGGGATTGTGCTTTCCCCTATCTCCGCGCGATGCGGACGAGCAAGCCATCGATTAGTTACTTCAGCATTTTGGGACTATTCACGTAGGCCCATGATGAACGAACGAGTTCTTCTTTTGAGAAAGAAGGAGCGTGGTTTTAGTAAAACAGAGGAAAACCCAGTACTGTGGCCCGTGGCATGACAGATATGTATTGGATTGGCACTCCATCATTGCTGCCCCAACAAAAACAGGACACTCAACCGAGCTACGCTTATTTCAATGATGACTCACATTTTGTTTGGTGGTGGTCCCCTCTCCCTCATAGACTTGAATGAGTACATCAGTCTGGCTATCAGAAGTAGTGGTGAAGGTTTGGGCCTGCTTAGTGGGGATCTCAGTATTGCGCTTGATGAGAGGAGTCATCATTCCTCCAGCTGTCTCAATCCCCAGGGACAACGGAGTCACGTCAAGCACCAACAAGTCCTTCGTCATTTTATGCTTGTCCCCTTGTAAGATGGCAGCCTACATAGGGAGTGGGAACGAAAGCAGCTCTTAGTTGGTGGAAGTATGAATATGACTCAATTGATGTGTTAACTACAGTCAACTCTCGTTATACCGCCACTCAATATAGCGCCACCCTTGCTTATCGCCAACCTCTTCTACTTGACAGATCACCCCATACCGTATATTATGTCCTATATTAATAAAGCTATATCGCGGTGAGAGCAATATCGCGGTTTTAGCCGCTACTGGTTGTCACCGCGATATAGCTCCCAACTGACGTAAGTATTCACGAGTCTTCATCAACGTTGGTGATGCGAAGTCAAATTCGAGTCAGGTTCAGCCATGAGTTTCAACCTCATTACCTCTTACTCGAGGTAACACCATAACGTGGGGAAACTGGAGAAGTTACAGTAACCTCAAGGAAAACTCACGTTACAGAATGGCTGTAGGGGGTAGGTTAAGGGTAGAATATGTAGTGGTTGGGTCTTTAGTCGATATCTTTCAAAAGGTTAGAGGCATTCAAGGACAAAGGCAAAGGCAACATGGCAAAGGCAACATGCGCTGGTGGTCAAAAGTATTGCTTTATTCGGAATTTTAAAACTCGCTTGACTCGCACCTGATATTTATTTAGGTGTTATCTTTCTGATATTAGTTAATGGAGAAATCACACAGCTGCACAATAGGTGTCAATCCAATATGTATTAGCATGCACGTATGAATGTAAACGTATTTATGTAATATTTTATTCTTCCACAAATTTTCTTCATCACATGGTTTCATGAAATAAAGTGACATTGGCATCTATTACAAGCAACTATTTTCAATTATAATCGGGTAGCAACCTGTCTCATATTCTTCAGATATTACCCTTTACATTCGGAAATAATGCTGAAGATGTAACTGATATCATCAGGTGATGTATAGGTTTATCATTGCATTATCTGTTCAGGAAGTGTAGAATTCCTGATGGTGCAATCATTTTGCCACCACTATACTGTTATGGAGCGAAGAAGTATTTACCATTCTGCCAAAAAATATTTATCTTTGAGAAGTTGACATATCTCAGATGGAGAGGAACCGACTGAAGGGTGACGCTAGGTGTCAAAGGGGAGGCATGAACGACGCTTCACACTGAAACCTTGAACCTATACAGAAAATGCAAGTTCGTGGCCTTCTTAATTGCTTACTAGAATAGCAGCGCCGTAGGCGACGGCTTTGTTAGGATTGACGCTCCTGTTCAATTCTTTGCCATTGAAGAAATCCACCAAGGTCTTTTGGATTTTTGGAATGCGAGTAGAGCCACCCACAAGAACAATCTCATCGATAGAGGCCTTGTCCAGCTTGGCATCTAGCAGAGCCTACAGAGAATCCAAGTACAGTCATGGCCATCGTTAAATTCATTCAGGATCGTTCAGTTAGTTACCTTCTGCACTGGTTCCAGTATGTTGCAGAATAAATCGTCGTTCATCTTCTCAAATTCGTCACGGGTGATAGTGGCTTGGAAATCAATGNGAATAAAAGTAATAGGCGCTACCGCGCCTATTGATAGATCAATTTAGGTCAGGAGTGTCCAACTCAATTTGGCGGGGATCAGAGGATTTGGTTCAGGTGTGTTTAGGAACTCACTATCGAATCTCATACCACATACACCGCATTTTTAATGCGAACAAGTGAAAAATGCAGCAATTTTCCAAAATCAACTGTTGAAGAGGAATTTGCCCGCAGGAGAAAATGAATTGGCGATTCGGATCCGGCGCGCGGGCCGCCAGTCGGACACCCTTGGCTTAGGTAGTCATTCAAGGCAGGTTTCAACAATCATTAGGCCAGCTCATATTGACCCTTTGGGAAAAGGTTGCTATTCCATTCCGTGTGTGACTTCTTTCTTTTCCTTTTCCCCCATCTGTCTAGTTGTCATAGAAACCAGAATAATGTTGTTCTCGAGCCAAATCACATGTGTAACCTTTTGCATGGGTCAAGGTATCAATCACTAGCTAAAGCTACCAGTTCTCTCCCCGCCCTTGCAGATGACGAATCCATTTATTTGATAGCCGAAAGAGAGCTGTGTGAACGGGATTGTGCTTTCCCCTATCTCCGCGCGATGCGGACGAGCAAGCCATCGATTAGTTACTTCAGCATTTTGGGACTATTCACGTAGGCCCATGATGAACGAACGAGTTCTTCTTTTGAGAAAGAAGGAGCGTGGTTTTAGTAAAACAGAGGAAAACCCAGTACTGTGGCCCGTGGCATGACAGATATGTATTGGATTGGCACTCCATCATTGCTGCCCCAACAAAAACAGGACACTCAACCGAGCTACGCTTATTTCAATGATGACTCACATTTTGTTTGGTGGTGGTCCCCTCTCCCTCATAGACTTGAATGAGTACATCAGTCTGGCTATCAGAAGTAGTGGTGAAGGTTTGGGCCTGCTTAGTGGGGATCTCAGTATTGCGCTTGATGAGAGGAGTCATCATTCCTCCAGCTGTCTCAATCCCCAGGGACAACGGAGTCACGTCAAGCACCAACAAGTCCTTCGTCATTTTATGCTTGTCCCCTTGTAAGATGGCAGCCTACATAGGGAGTGGGAACGAAAGCAGCTCTTAGTTGGTGGAAGTATGAATATGACTCAATTGATGTGTTAACTACAGTCAACTCTCGTTATACCGCCACTCAATATAGCGCCACCCTTGCTTATCGCCAACCTCTTCTACTTGACAGATCACCCCATAGGCATATAATACAGGATATAATTATTTCGATATAGCGCCACTCTCGTTATAGCGCCAAAATCGGCGATGACCAACAGTGGCGCTATATCGAGGGTTGACTGCATTCATAAGTGCTCAGAAGTAGTTGATTGGTGATGGGAAGTCAAATTCGAGTCAGGTTCAGCCATGAGTTTCAACCTCATTACCTCTTACTCGAGGTAACACCATAACGTGGGGAAACTGGAGAAGTTACAGTAACCTCAAGGAAAACTCACGATACAGAATAGCTGTAGGGGGTAGGTTAAGGGTAGAATATGTAGTGGTTGGGTCTTTAGTCGCTATCTTTCAAAAGGTTAGAGGCATTCAAGGACAAAGGCAAAGGCAACATGGCAAAGGCAACATGAGCTGGTGGTCAAAAGTATTGCTTTATTCGGAATTTTAAAACTCGCTTGACTTGCACCTGATATCCAAATTAGGTGTTATCTTTTTGATATTAGTTGATGGAGAAATCACACAGCTGCACAATAAGTGTCAATCCAATATGTATGCATATCCAATATGTATGTATGTATGCATGCACGTATGAATGTAAACGTATTTATGTAATATTTTATTCTTCCTCAAATTTTCTTCATCACATGGTTTCATGAAATAAAGTGACATTGGCATCTATTACAAGCGACTATTCTAAATTATAATCGGTTAGCAACTGTCTCATATTCTTCAGATATTACCCTTTCCATTCGGAAATAATGCTGAAGAAGTAACTGATATCATCAGTTGATGTATAGGTTTATCATTGCATTAGCTGTTCAGGAAGTGTAGAATTCCTGATGGTGCAATCATGTTGCCACCACTATACTGTTATGGAGCGAAGAAGTATTTACCATTCCGCCAAAAAATATTTATCTTTGAGAAGTTGACATGTCTCAGATGGAGAGGAACTGACTGAAGGGTGACGCTAGGTGTCAAAGGGGAGGCATGAACGACCCTTCACACTTTGAAACCTTGAAGGTGTACAGAAAATGCAAGTTCGTGGCCTTCTTAATTGCTTACTTGAATAGCAGCGCCGTAGGCGACGGCTTCGTCTCCTAACTGCGAGGACAAGTTAAGAAACGGTAACTTCTTTAGGTGGTTCCAGAAAACCTAAAAACCTTACGCTCATCTCGGTGGGTGTTCTTGTTAGAGTAGCTATCTCCGGAACAGGTCGAACCGTTCTAGCAGAGCCTACAGAGAATCCAAGTACAGTCATGGCCATCGTTAAATTCATTCAGGATCGTTCAGTTAGTTACCTTCTGCACTGGTTCCAGTATGTTGCAGAATAAATCGTCGTTCATCTTCTCAAATTCGTCACGGGTGATAGTGGCTTGGAAATCAATGCCTTCGAGCAAAGAATCTATATATATTTGTCCCTTTGCAGATGTAGACAGATTCCTCTTTGCTTTTTCGCAAGCAGCGCGCAAACGAGAAACGGCTCGCTCGTTCTTATCAATGTTTTTCTTGAACTTTCGCTCGAACTCCTGAGGAAACACAGACATTCACGAATCTAAAAAGGGAAACAACTCTCTCTCACGATGAATGACTACTCACACGAACAAAGTGGTTGACCATTCTGTTATCGAAATCTTCGCCACCCAGGTGAGTATCACCAGAGGTGGACTTTACTTGAAAGATCCCATCTTGAATAGTCAGGATGGTTGCATCTAACGTGCCACCACCGAGATCAAAGACGAGGACGTTGGTCTCTGTTTCAAATTTTCTACCAAGACCATAACCAATGGCAGCTGCTGTTGGTTCACACATTACACGCAGGACGTTCAATCCTGCCATCTTCCCTGCTTGCTCAGTAGCTAGTCGCTGAGAAGAAGTGAAGTAGGCAGGCATTGTCACCACAGCATCTCTCACCGGCTTTCCCAGATATTCCTCTGCAATTTCCTTCAGTTTTTCCAACATCATGGAACTGATCTCCTCAGGGGAGAAAGCTTTCATTTCCCCCTTGTATTTAACCTACAAGCATAATTTACAGTTAGACGTCTCCATTGTCATCTATTGAAAATACGCCTGTATTGCGATTAGGATACAATTTAAACTCACTTCAATCTTGGGTTTTCCATTATCATTGATGACAGTGAAGGGCCAATGCTTCATGTCATTCTGTATTGAAGGATCATCAAATCTTCTTCCAATGAGCCTTTTGACACCTGGAAAGAGATAATCTGACATGAGCCCCACTCTGATCCTTTCAGTCGCATGATCGTTTTCATCACTGTCAGGATGAGCTGATTTTTGCCATGTTAAACCATTTAGCTACGATTAGCCTTTTTTTGACTAATTAATGCAAAGTTCAAAATTTATCCTAGGAATAAATAACCCTACGAGGCCAACCTTTTTTGACCGCACATAAGTGAGTTTCTGGTCTAACCCAGAAGCTGTAGTTTGACGACCAATGTACTGTGTGTTTCAATGTGTTACGATTGTTTTCACATGCAAAATTAACGAAGTAATTGTTTTCCTAAAACTCATTTGTCGTCCTAAAAGGGATGCGGCAGATAAATTAGTCTGTACATGAGAGGGGGAGGGAGAGGCAGTGGCGACTTCAGGCTGGGAGCATGCTGGGCGTATCTGATCTTTTCAATCAAGGAGGACTCCTCGAAAAGGTTTATTCCCAAATCCATTTTTCCCCTGAAATACATTTTCAATGAAGGAGTCCTCCCCGATCGGAAATTGACTTTTAAAGTAATTTCTTGGAAGGAATTATCCCCGCCCGACACTTTTCGCCAGTGATTCTTCATAAAATTATGAAACCGATACTCAATGTCAACCATCATTATTCATCCTTTTCAGAATCAGTACTCAACAAGGAAAGCAAATCTATGACATCATCAGTCCTGCAGATACTTCAAACACCTCTCTCTATGCATCTCACCCATTCACCTACCGAAATGAACATCCGAAACGAAAATTATGCAAAACACCTTAAACAAAGCTACTTCGACCTATTTATTCTACCTATTCGACCTATACTTCTCCATATCGCTGGACCAAGGTTTTTATTCACAGGTTCATGTTGCAATATTTCTTACTAGCAGGTATCCATGAAACATTCACGTCTTCGAATTTAAGGTAATGGATTTCTCTTTCAAAAAATTTAATGAAACACACAGCTTGAATTTTCAACGCCCATATTTCGAATCAATAATATTGCGTGCGCCCCGCTATTACCCCCCCCCCCCACGCCCCCTCCCTTAAACCAATCTTAGAATTACCCTATATACCAAAATACAGGTTTAGTTCTATAACATTCAAATGGGACAATTTGTACGAATTCAAAACTTTCGTGTATTAAATGAAGGAGGGAAGATGCTTCCCATCCCCATAGATCTCAAATTTCCCTTTTTAGTCCCCGAGTTTAACTCTATTGGACTGGCGGATCGGACCGACAGCTCAGTCTGGAATCAAGTTTCCTGCTAGGTGCAGGAGAATATGCTATCAGAAGGATTATTTGTGAAAAAAAGAGCACCTCGTTCCATCAGCGCTCGACGCCATAACGTCATTAAATGACGTCACCCTCGGGCAAGCAGCAGGCAGCGAAACGCGGTGAACTATGAAAACGTGACAGGCTCACACGAACGTGACGTCATGGGAAAACTGGATGGGTCAGCAGCGCTGCTTAGAAAGAGGACGAAGCCAGAGACCCCGAGCTCTAAACTCAGAGGCATAAGTAGGCTGTGGGTTGGCCCGATCGGCCCGACATGATCCGCGGGAGGGGGGTCCATAAAGTTCGGTCCGGCAATGGAAAGTTCATCCGCGCAAGTCTCAAGTAGACATACAGGAAGACGCAACCTGTGGAGCATGGGAATGGAGATCAGCTCTATCAGGCAGACCCGACCGGCGCATCGGTTGGCAATCACGTTTCATGTTTGGTGCAGGCGAATACGCTAGAATACACTAAGAGGAGTCTTTTTCTCGAGCCGTTAACAGTTTCTGGCAATAAGGACGCCTCTTTCCGTCAGTACTCGATGCGATCACGTCATTAAATGACGTTACTCTCGGGCATGGAACAACCACTGGAATGTAGTGAGCTATGAGAGTACGGAACAGGCCAGCACCAATGCGACGTTATGGGACGTCAGGTGGAAGCCTCAGCAGAGTCGGTAGAGCCGCTCAGAAAAAAGACGAACCCAGAGACCACGAGTTCCGAAGCTTAGAGGCCTAAGCAGGCTGCGGTCCGGACCGATCGGTCCGACACGATTCGCGGGTCGGACTCAAAAGTTCGGTCGGCGTTTGAGCTCCGGATTCGAATCGGCCCAATCGAGTCGGGTCGGGTCTGGATTAGAGGCCTAAGCAGGCTGCGGTCCGGACCGATCGGCCCGACACGATTCGCGGGTCGGACTCAAAAGTTCGGTCGGCGTTTGAGCTCCGGATTCGAATCGGCCCAATCGAGTCGGGTCGGGTCTGGGAAAGTCGACCCCTGCAGGCCTCCGACGGACAGGAGTACTTCGGCTATTATATAGATGCCTTTGGAGCGGAGCGCCTCCAGGAAGAAGTCGGGCAATCTTCACTTCATTCAAGCTCTATTCCCTGAGAATAAAACTGATGGACTTGAAGAGCTTGAGATGGCTTCCCCTACCCTGACGTGTCAGGTAATTTATTGTAATGCTTCAAACATGTCCTCCAAGTAATTAAAGAGTTCTCTGCACTATTGAGGCATATCATCGTGAAAGTCTTCAACTGCCTATGGGACTTCGTAGGGAGGCAAAAAACTCAACGCTGCTAAAACCCTCAGCTTTTATTGCAGAAAAGGATCCTAATTGAGGCAATTCACCAGCTGCCAAGATAGTATTTTTTCTCTCATAACAATTGCTGCTGCTGGAAAAGAATACATGAAGGTGGACCTCTGAGAAATGAAAGGAAATCATTATGAAAATTCAGTCGGGATTTTTCCCCTTCGGGAAAGTGACCGCCAGGGAATAGTCATTCGAGAAGGTCTCCTTTTAAAGAGAAAACCCTCTTGGGATAAGACCGTTAAAAAAAAAGTATCTCTGGGAAAATTTCTTTCAAAGAATAAACCGTTCTGGAAATTTAATTTCAAGGAAGAGTCTGTGAATCATGCTTGGTGAGGTGTTGTCGACTGATGACTGATACGATAGAGGAAGAGAAGAGGAGGAACGCCTCATTCTACCGTCTTGCTTATGTTCAAATTTATGTCTGCTGTATTTACGAATGTGATCGGCAGCTCCTAATTAGAGGAGGAAATAAAACACTTCATTAGGGAATGTATGTTTCCATTCACTCACCAAAGATAGTGTTGGTAGGATTCCTGGGAATTTGATTCTTGGCATCATCTCCAATCAGAGCACATGTGTCCGTGAATGCAACGTAGGAGGGTGTTGTTAATTCTCCTTTGTCATTGCGGATTATTTTCACTTCTCCCTGCTGGAATACTCCAACACAGGAGTACGTAGTTCCCAGATCGATACCAATAGGGGGAGCTTGGCCAGTTGAGGACGTGAATTTAAACTGCAAGTGAAAATTAGGTTCTTGAAGATGAGAGATTGATTGGAATTGCATCAGAAGCACCCTTGGGTAAAACAAGAGACTGCATTTTAAGGGATTATGTGTAGAGAAAAGTAGACTCTCTAAATGGAAATTTCACTTCACAAATACTGTAAAGTACCCCGCGAGATTGGGGATTGGAGCCAACTGAGGCCCTTTTCATTTAATTCCAGTGTTCATTCACGACTCTTTGAGGGCCTTGCGTTCTTCAAAACCCTTTAATGTCATTCAGGGTGGACGTGGTCAACGCCCATTTTGGCACTTTCAAGTGCATTATGCCATGAACGAAGGATACCTAAAGAAGTTCTTTGCATTGTCAAACCAGGATAACATTTACCAGCGCTGGAGGTTATGGTAAATGTGATCCCGGCATCACCTAGTACCCTTGCACCGAAGACCCTTCTTGACAACTATAGTGCCTTTTACGTACGTTTAGATAAGAGTATACTTAAGTTTATAATGTAACCACTTTTTAGGATTTAATTTTTTCGAATGGTTTTCCCTAATCAGGAGGCTTTTAGGAATCAGCCCCATTTATGAATGGTATCTTTCCATTTCCAAAAAATGTATTCGTTTAGACAGAATGTAGGCGTGTGGGACATGATGAAAAAATCCTGGCAGCAGCAGCAGAGAAAATGCTGTGTATCAGTATACAATGGCATTCATCCCTATCAGTAGCATAACGCGACTTCAGCAAAAATTACCGAAGGATTACACTTTTTACGCATGAAACGTGTTCCACGAACGTTTGAGGAAGTCACTTGAGGTCATGGCAATGTTCCTCTGAATCTATCACTTGTCACCTCTGTGGCGATATATCTTTGATAAAAGTGGGAAACACTAAATCTCGCTTATGGAATATTTGAGTTTCATTTCTATTTTCACCCCCTCCCTGAGTAACCTATCCCTGCGGATTTTCGGGGAAGATAATCCCACCAAAAGAAATACCACGGATATTGACTTCTAGATAATGAAAAGTGACTACTTTTCTGTTATTTGCGACGCACCATTTCGCTATGAAAAAGGAAATTATACGAAGTACATTTAGGGCGCGTGTGGGCTCCAGCTTCAATCCCCCATTGTTACCCGATATTGTGCTGGGGTTACGTTGGATTCACGATTGTTTCTGCTTTTTGATTCGGTGCCTGGATCTTCAGATTTTTAACATATGGTGCATCTTTGTGCTGAGTTCTGGGATGAGGTGAAACTGAAACCGTAGTTAGTGATTGTCAATCCATTGGGTGGGATATCTCCACAGATACCTTCCAGATGGTTCTAGAAACTCCAGATAGGGTTAATTTTACACGTCCTCTCTGAAATGGTTCATGAAACTCTAAAATGCTCCATTAACTGTCAAACGTTATATGTCCCCTCTGGAATAATTCCGGAAAGTCAGTCAGAAAAATTCATAACCGGTCAAAAGTTACACGTTCTCACGACGGTGTCGCGAAAATCCCGATATTAACTCCTATATGATTAATGAAACCCTTGACTTGAGGATTAAGACTCCGCAACGAAAGAAGTCTGTTCAAGACCTGACCTGAAGACAGTCCGTTGGTTAGGCTTAGTTCTAACGTTAGTGACTTCCGTAGATAAGAGGGGAGAGGGAGGAAGTTGAAGAAAGGGGAGAGCCTTTGAAAAATGGTCTTCACACTGCTTCATCCGCTTCTGATAAAGAGCTCTGATCGGAACGAAAAAAACTAAATCTCTTCCGGCATCATACCTTCACAATGACGGAGCAGAAGTCGCACGCTCTATGGTGGGGTGCGTAAAATACCTGAGAGTACTAAACCTGAGGTACCTGAGGATACCAAAAATCACTCACCGTCCGCCTCCTCGTTTTGACTGGATCACTCTGTTTGCTGTCCTGTGAATTCCCCAATATCCAATTGCTTTGAACCTATGAAATAGGAGATTCCATTCAAAGTTTTGCTACTAGGATGCATCTGTTCATAAAAGGGGAAATTGTTCTGACTACTAAGTCCAAGGTTACTCAAATTATGGATTTATAGAGCCTTTGGAGCAGCGACGGAAGGTTGTTGCGTAAGCGCTCTTAAGGTTGCAGTTCACAGGCCGCTACTTCTTCAAAAATCCATCTAGACGGTGCGCGAGTAGAGGTGACAGCGAAAGTAGAGTAGAAACACGATCCTTTGGTTCTGAAATTGGTTGTGTGTTTGAAAAATTGGGGTTAATTCGACACATCATAATGAGCGGGGGAAGAGAAGAGAAATAGGTCTCCCTATGTTCCTTTCCCCCTTCTTGCAAATTCTACCTCTTTGGCCGTGCGAGACGAGCAAGTGAGGTGCATGTAGAGGGGTGACCGCTTGACTCGCCGAAACTGCTGAGCGGCTGAATGTTAAGTGGCTGACGACTTGGGCGGCTAACAAGTTGAGCAGCTTAAAAGACTTAGTTATAATTGGCTAACAAGTTGAGCTTTCGAATTAAAGAACTTTACATATGACCGGAGTAGAACTCAGGTATTCAATTGACTGACTTAATGAAACGTTGCAAACCGTTTTTGCTTTGTATATAGTAGCCGAATTTGTCAACACCTGGAATACATTTTTTTATTACAATAATTAAGCATGATAGATTTATGTGTTCCTAAGGATGAGGTGAAAAGAAACATTGATGTCATTCAAATTCTTGTAGAAAAGGTATTTTTTTGTCAAGTCATCGTTCAGCTGAAACATATCAAAAATCATAATTATGAGCAATACTCGTCAAGTACTCGAGAAATTCGGCACCCTTGTACCCAGAAACGACAATTTTCACTCTCCCGTTCAACAGGCGATATTTCTTCTGGGGCATTGGAAGCTGATGCCCAGCCCCAAGGCACTCCGATAGAGCTGCTACAGAAACTTCTTCTCGTTGAAGCTTCAGAGCCAGGGCTCGCACCGAAAGATGGACTTTGTTCACCGAGCCTCTGAAGGTGTTGTGCGATCCCTCCACGGAATCGTTGGTTCTGGGGAGGCCAGCAACGGTACGCTGATACTGCGACCACAACGAAGGGGGAAACAGAGGCTGGCGGCGACGACCACCTCTTCCAACATTTCCAATGTAGTTGGACTCGAAATAATAAAAAAATCGGGTCGATGATGGTGCATGGGAATTGTGCTCGGATGGCGGCCTCACAATGACGTCACCCATGCTGTGCAGTCTGGGGGTGCAGATTCTGTCTTCGCATCGCCTGTAGGTCTTCTGCCCAAGTTTCTTATCGAGAAGGTAGATGTAGCCATCAAGGATGACTTTACGATGACCACGCTGGGTTGTCACAAACTGGAGGGTTGCCATTACGAGAACGCAATGCTGTCATGACAAAGCCTTAGCTTTATATATACGACACTGGGAAGGGTGGGATTAGTATTAGGAAACTACTCAGGTCGCCTAAGTTGACAGATTGACAGGAAACAGGGACGCCCTTTCCCCTCATGCCACTCTCATTGTCATTAATCCATAACCATGGCCCCACTTGAGGCTGGTTGCCTTGCCCTACCCCTAAATTCCTCTCTCCGTCCGTAGGGACGTAGGGACGGCTTAATCCCATCTAGACAAAACCGTCTCACCCAGGCGAAGACTAATCCGGCTCCGGCTGAACAACGATGAAAATATTTTAAGTTACTAAAGATTTGCAAAACGACTTACTGCAGCCCTTCACCTCGTGAAGATTTAGGTGGGCTAATTCTAATTCCATTATTATAGGGTGGATGAAAATAATTCGTGCTTCAGCTTCCGCTTTCAAGGAATAAGGAAGTTTCGGCGAGCTGAGCTGTCGTTGAATTATAAGTCGGTGAATCGTCATTCGACGAAGTGATAGGGAACCGTGGAGAGGCCTGATCCTGTAGCCTCTAAGCGCCCACTAAAAAATCAGTTATTGGTGTCGCGCAAGGTAAGAAACAGGAAAAAACCTTGTCGCAAGCTATGGCTATGGCAGAATACGTTTCTTCACAGGGCAATGCTTCACGACTATACCAGAAATTGCATTTGGGGTTTCTTCATTGTAAATTAATATTGATTGATTGTGACGTGTTTAGCTTGGAAAGTTTTGGATTAAATGCACTTTTCTAGGGATAGGAGTGAATCATTCTTTCGCACAAATGTCAAATTTATGGTTTTAAAATTTTCATAAAATTGTCAAATTTTTAAGTTCACTTCGCTTCATGAAGAATTGAGAATCCAAGACAAACAAAACACCGAAAATATATTGTTGCAGTCTAAGATTCTGTTCCTATACGTGTCAGTGAACCTTGGGAAGGTTTAAACCAGATCTAGTTCATAAACTGTTCTTGATACCCCGAGACAAAAATCTGGCTGCTCTCTCCGAATAGATCCTCCTATTTCAGCGGCCTGAAAGTTCAACGGCAGCGAATGTTCCGGCAATAAAGAGGCCTACTTTATCATCAGTCCTTAGTGCTGTTTTCATGGGCTACTGAGTCCTACGGATAATGAGAATCGTTCCCGTCTTAAAGAGGATGAATTGAATTGAGCAAAGTCATCGTTAATAAATTAGTTCTTGAAATAAGAAAAATATTTATTTATATCCTGTTCTTCTTAAACCGACAAGGAAAATTCTCAGGAAGTCCCTTGAACACCGTGGATCTTATGACGAATTTCGGGGAAATTTTTTCGATATACAGGGCGACTAAAGCAAATGGGATGGTTAACATAAATTCGTGTCGTTAAGTCGCAATGAAGTGTCAATCTAAAATTTCTTAACCCTTTCAGACCTGGCGTCCATTCCAATGGACATTGCATTTACATTGTGTCTATGGCAATTTCTTAGGATTCTCATTACTTTGCGCTCCATACTACGCTACAATAGGCGCAATTATGCATGGCTCAGTTCTATCAGAGGCCTTCTTTCACCCATCAGTTTTGTAATCTTCAGTTATTTAATTAAATGTTTAATATATTGGGTTGGAAAGAAAGTCTTGCAACACTCTGCGCAAATTTTTCAAAATTTTATAACTTTCTTGAAGTGCAATTTCAGTCTACAATGTAATGACCATTGTCGTCTATGACATGTTCCCAACGCACGGGTAACTGCTCGATGCCCTTTGCCCAGAACTCTGGCGATTGCGAAGCGAAGAAACGGCCGACATCATTTTCGAGCTGTGCTCGATCGTCGAAGGCCTTGTCCCGCAGGTGATTCTTGAGGGC